TTTAACTATATCTTGTCTTCTATTTTTAAGCATTCTTTAAGTAGATTACTTCCCTCTTTTCTAATTTTATTTTCATTTTTTTTCGCTCTGTTTTTTGTCTTATTTGCCATCTTTCCTTTGTTTGTTTCTAATTTTAGTAGGTAGATTGGTGTTGTTTGATCAAACCTCAGGATCCATTTTATCTATTTGTTTTATACTCCTTCGATTACTTTGTGTTCTGATCATCCCCATATTTCCGCTCCAAACATAAGTATACTTTCTACCAGTACTTCGAACAGATACATGTTCTTTTCCCAACTTTCCTTGAAAGTCCTTTCAGATATACCTCATACTTTCCCTAAGACTGCAGTTGCCTTTTTATAAAGTTTCTTATTTGCTCTTCGTCTACATTGTTCTTCTCTGTATGAAGTAACCTATATAACTGTGCATTTTAACTTCTTCAATTTATTTTCCTTCCCATGTAAATATTATCTTTTTCGTTCTTCCACCACCTTTTCTGCCTCTCATTATTTTCGATTTGTCCCTGTTTATCCCCTCTTCATTGTTCGCCATCAATACTATATCATCCTCGTAAGATACTGTCCATACTTTTTCTTTCCCATGACTACTCCTCCCATTTGAATTTTCCTCATTGTATTTTCTAGATTCGCAGAAGCTAGGTTGAAAAGTGCTATACTCAAGGGACATACTTGTCTCACCCCCTTCATCGTGTTAAGCTTTTAAGAAATTTCTTTATTGATTCTTATTTAAATGATGTTGCTTCATGTATCTCTCCTATTCTTTTCCTTAACTTCATATTTATTCCTTTTTCTTCCATTATACTCCATATTTTCTTTCTGTCAAAAGCTGCCTGCCCAAAGAATGGCCGTCTCTACTATGTATATTGCATCCAGTGTCCGTCTCCCTTTTCTATAGCCTATTTGTGTATCATCTATCTTTTCTTCCATTTCTGCCTCGAGCCGAGCTTTTAGTGTCTCCGCGTATATTTTATATCCAGGGTCCATAAGTGTTATTCCTCTATAATTTTTTGCCTCGTCTTTATTGTCGTTTTTGTATATTGGTGTCACAATGTTCGTCCTCTAATCTTCTGACAATTTTGCATTTCCTTTTTATATGTCATTTATTATCCCATGTAGATCCTCTATAACCTCATCTAATCCGTAAATCCATGCTTCATTTGGTATTTTATCTTCTCCTGCTGCTTTCTTTTTTTTATCTTTTTAATTACTTTTTAATTTCTTCTCTACTTATTTCGCCTTCTTCTTTCTCTTGTTTTCTTTTTCAATTTTTATATTTCCAATGCATTATTCTTCTACGTCTGTTGCGTTCATGTGAATCTTAAAGTGCTCCACCCGTTCCGACATTTTTATTTTTTCACTTACTTTCTCACTTCTACACCTTTGATTGTTTATTAGTTTCCAGAATTTTTTGCCGGTTTTATCTTTTCTAGCTTCCAACTATTTTCTTATTTCTTGTTCTTCCTTCTTTCTTTCAATTAACAGTCTGCATTTTTTTCTCATCATGTAGAAAACTTATATGTTACCTTAAAAACGTATAACAAAATTTGTCGACAATTTTATACTCTAAAATTTCGTTCTGGATCATTTCAAAGATTTAGATCCTAACCCGGTTCTTGAATCCAGTATCAAGATCGACAAAACTCGACTGAAGTCCGAAACAAATATCTGTATCTAAATGAGAGCCGAGAACTACTGGTACATCATGGTTATTACGTAGATTACAGCCGGTTATTTATTTTCATTTCAAGTATAAAGCGACATACTAGAACCAAATATACACCCAGCCAAAAATACGAGTACATCAATTAACAATAAAGTAAAATTAAAAGTAGCCTGCCTTGTTGCGGTAACCGTTTTTACTGCTGAGGTTATAAAATGTAATTTTTAATATTTAATTGATTTATTTTTATATACATGAAGATTTCGTTTTGTGCTATATCGTCGGTTCCACTCCTCACTCGCCGCAAATATCGACCTGGCTATGCAAAAGAGTTTAAGAAAGAAAAATCCTCAGTATTTATTCCTACTTTTCAAATGCTTAATGTTATAATTCGACATTGTATTTCATTTTACGTGAAAACAGTGCCCAAAATAAAATTACAAAATCTGTAATGATTTAAAATACGCTGCAAGACGCCATTTCTCAACATACAATTCACAAGAAAAGGACATACAAATAATGTCGCGCAGACGAGTCCCGAAGCTATCGTTGAGAAGCGAAAACATAAACCGTTCGTCATAGTGGTTCGTCGCATCACTGATTTCATTGCAGATAAGTACATATTACTATTGACCCGACTAAGATCCGTGATCCGTCATTCAAAATTTTTGGAACTGGTTCATTTCATTCTTTTTAAAGATCCAAATCAGTGAACCGGATCAGATCTGAATAATAAGTGCAAATGTCATTGAAACAACAGGAGGCGAGATATTAGCGAAAAATCTATTTTACGATTATTAGTGATCTTTGATCTTGAATATCTTAAAAAGTGGACACGAGATGTTAATGTGACTTTTGGTACAACATTTAGAATGCCAAAATAAAGGTTCATACAAGAGTATAGCTTATTATATCTCATTGTGAGGTGAAACCACTAATATGAGTGGACTAATAATTTTTAAGGTTTAACGGCCGGCGTATATTAGTATTAATTATTTTAAAAACAATGCTTCGTAATTTCCCCTTCGCAAGTTTCATCGAAATTATATTCGTTTTACATTCTTCATTATGATGTTTTGCTGTGGAGCATAAAATTTTGTTTTTGAAATATTTTGTTATTTCTTTCCAACGATTTCTTTAACGGTGACTTGACTGAAAGTGAATCGTGACTGATAATTTCATTAGTCACAACGCCGCGGTTAGCACCACCAAACGTCTAAATAGCAAAATATCACGCACTGCGCCAGAAGTGTCCAGAGAAAAATCTGGAACCAGGACAAAAAGCAATCAACTATTGGGAGAGTAAACTCGCCAACAATAAGCACGCTGGGACGGATGTGGCGAACATTTCACATGCATGTCATTCACTGTATGTTTTTGTTGGCATACAACATTGATCAAGGCACATGATACGAATGTAAACCAATCTAATAAGGAACATTAAGTTCCCGGCGACTAATTCATGTTATTTATAAGGAATGTTTAAAAACTGAAATTTTTAGATACGGTCGAAAAACATTGATTCTCCATACTATGTACCCGAAATTATCGCAACCCAGGAATTCAAAGATCATTTTCTCGAAAGATACGTGGACCAAAGCAGGACTATTGGTAAAACTTCCATGTCACGGCTTTTTAAAAAATGTAACTTTTTCTTGTTGGAAATGGTTTAAAATGATCTAATCATGAAAAACTTACATGAAATAATTGGGGAGAAAGTGTTTTGAGAAGTTTTTATTGAAAATAAACATTTTTATGTTACACTTCACAGTTGACAGATCATATTGATAGTTGCGGTTAACTAAAAGCAGTCGTCTGTTTCGAAAACAACTTTTTTCTTTTAGAAATTAGTATATTTGTGAAAAGCGCAGAAGAAAAAATAGGAGAAGGTGTTTTAAACAATTTTCTTTGTAAATAAATAATTTATAGTCATATAACCTATGCGAATTTCAGTTACTTATCATAGATAACAGTCACTACACAGCCGTTTTTGACTTCGCCTCTACAGTATATATCGCTTTCGCTTAATAACTGATATCTGCTGAACGGTCCTTTATACAATATAAATATACACAAACTGTTCCCATTTTAGGAAGATACGGTACAATGTATGAATATAAAATAGGGGAAGGGGGGCAGTGTTGCATATCTTAATCTAACCTACTCAACTAAACGTAACACAACACAAACCAACTTAACTTAGGCTAGGTTAAGGTATGCAACGGTGCCCCTCTTCCCCTATTTTAAATACATACGTTGTACCTGTACTTTCCTAGAATGGGAACAATTTGTATCTATTTATATTTTATAAACAACCGTTGAGCGGAGATTACTTTTTAAGCGAATGTTATCTATGATAAGTGAATGTGAAATTCCCATAGAACAAACAGAATTGCTCAAAACCCCAACGCCAAAACTGAAGGGACTGAAGTAAACTGAAGTGTCGTGTTTTGGCGTTGGGGTTTTGAGCTATTCTGTTTGTTCTACAACAACCGCCAAAGTTTTTCCAATCTTCATATGAAATTCCCATAGGTTATACACCTTTAAAATATTTATTTATTAACTAACTCCAGCTAAATTAGTTCTACAGGAGTTTAACCGTTAACGGTAACTGCCAAAATGAACTGCTAACTGTGAAGTGTAATCTAAAAATGTTTATTTTCAATAAAAACTGCTTGAAACTTTTTCCCCCCGATTATTTCATTTAAGTTTTTCATGATTAGGTGATTTTAAGTAATTTCCAACTAGAAAAAGTTACATTTTCGAAAAAGCCGTGATACGGAAGTTTTACCGGCCTTTTGATCTTCTTATTTGAAAGCAACCCTTAGCTACTTCTTATTGTTTCAAAATATTATTGTTATCGATGAATTTTGAGTCATTGTTTACAATATGGACGTATTGTCAGAGAGGGAGAAAATAGATACAGGAGGTGGAAATGACCTAGGATAGAGGAGAAAAATTGAATAGTAAAGAGAATCAACGTATGCTAAATTAACCCTAACCTATGCGAAACAAACATGGCAAAGCATTTTATTGTAGTGATTAATATTCGGTTTTTCATCTCTACCTCAGGCCCTTTTACCTTTTGGATTCACCTAAAAGCAATCCTTTTAATGTTGTTCATGGTCATCCCCACCCCTCCACCCTTTCTCTCTCCTCCAACCACGTATCCTATATTGTAAACAATTACCGCATGTTGCACTTTATATTCGTATTTATGGTAATAGTTTAATGCGTAATGAAAAGAAAAATATTTTGATGATCAGCCTTTCCGGCACAGTTGTTTTCGTTACATATATTAAAATGACTCAGGTACTTACTCGGTGTTGTAGTTAAATTTTCCAATATACATCTGAAAATACAACTTATTGTTATCTTGAAGTATTTGATGTTTGTTAACGACGTAAGACTTACGGATCACTCGGTTTTGATTCATCACAATAATAATCGGTAGGACAAATTACTTCTGGACCCAGTTTCCAATCTAACAAACCAGAAATTTTCCAGCATATTTTAAATGAATTGTAACTTTCGCAACAAATATCATTGAATGCCCAAATATTGCCAAAAAATGTTCCCAAAAGTACCTTAAATACATTTATAAATTCATCATTTCTTTTATATGTATACTTCTTATTCTTACAAAATAGTTTAATTGTAACATCACTATTCTTGATAATTACTATTTTAGCGAAAATGTTATGACAAAAACTGTATCCAGAGTTAATATAAAGAAACTAAAGCATGTACATAAATAATTAATTTAGGCTACTCATTAAATTAAACATTTAAATGCTTTATCTCTCTTGATAACCGTCATAGTTTTATGATTTCAAAACATTTCAAAGAAAATACAAGAATTTACTTATTTCAACTAATTGTAGTAACTATTTATTTTTCACATTTGCTTATACGTAATATATAAAGACAATTGGTGTTATATTAATCTGCTACACTTAAGATTAAGTTATCATTTTGGTTTTACTAACAACATTTTTAATTTATCACCATGTAGATTATAGTTAGATTTGATTAATCAACCTAAACCAACAAAACCTTTTCTGTAATTTTTATGAATGTTATAAATGTGCTCTTTAAAGAATGTTTTTATCGTTGTTCCACTATGTCCTAATTATAGATAGTTCCACATGAATCGCAAAGCATATGATAGATACTTCTTTTTACACTTACCCCTTTTTTAAATTTATTGTTTACTGTAGATGATTTTTTTAATGTCTTATTATTAATTCTGTATACGAATAACTTAAACTTCCTTCACCTTTTTTTTTTTATTTAAAGGAAGCATTATTAATAAACATTATGTAAACAATAATTTCAGTTTTGTGTTCTTTTCAAGACTACTATTGTACAATAGCCCCCATACTATATTTTGTTTTCTATCATTATCGAAGCTTTTTATTAGTAGTAAGCCTTCTAGTGGTGTACAAAAATGAATTTACTAATTACTAATCTGAACAAGCAATTAAACATAACATGTGTTGTTGTTGGATCACAAAAATAGAGTTAAGTTCCAGGGAGGTATCAAGCGTATTTATATGACACATGAATGACATGCATGTCTGTTAAGGAAACAAGAAAATTTCTCTCATTCTAGAAGAATTCCGCCCATCTGGGCAAAATAAACCAACGTAAATGTATAAGCTTTTTATTTTATATAAACAGCTTGATTATTCTAACACCCTCTCTAAAATTTTACATTGTAACTATAATTACAATAATATAGTAATTATTCGTTAAATCATATTAACAAGGTTACTCTTATTTTCAAGTCCTAACTTCGTTCTTAAATATAAACATCTTGGTTTTGGTAATATTTTGCGGGTATGTAAGCGGTTTGTTCATTGCTTCTTATATATTCTTCATTAATTTCATTTTCGTTATCATAAGCATTACGGACAAAATGATATTTAACGTCAGTGTGTTTAGTTCACTGATAAAGCTCAGAGTTTTTAATTGACGATAATGAATTCGTATTATCAACCCAGGGTATAATTTAATTTTTGATCTGATATTCATTGATATTTTCTTACGCCAAATTATTTGTTTAGCTGCTGGTGCTGCATTGCATACACCAGAGCCGGGCAAACTCGGATCTTTTGACTCCCGAGTGCTCCTCAAGGTTAACCAAGTAGCTCCTCATTGATCCTGCGAGGGCAAACTCGGCTCTTTTGACTCCCGAGTGCTCCTCAAGGTTAACCAAGTAGCTCCTCATTCATCCTGCGAGTGCGAGTGAGATGATTCTTTCCTTTTCTTATCCCTTCCATTTCGTAGATGAGTCCCCTCTTCCATAGCCAAACCCAATAGTTTTGCGAACGTAGTAACGAAAATTTTCGTAGGTATTATTTAAGTTGCGAGAGTGGCTTCGCTCGTCTACGGGATGAAGGGGCTTGATATGGGAGTGGAAGGGAGAAGAAAAAGACAAAACAAAATTATTCATT